GGTAGAGTTTCTGTATTAATTATTAAATGTTTTTTAAATTTGAATTAAATTACAGTAGAGCGTCGTTTATCCGAAAGTCGGTTATCCGAAAGAATTCCAGTTGGCAAATTTAAATTTTCGCTAGTGCTGTGACACTGCAATCTTTGGCTATATCTTGGGCTACTCCAACATTTTTTTTGTTGGTGTGTGTGTGTTTTAGATGGCAGCACTGGCACTTTTGTGTGGTGTTTTTCTGAGGATTTTGCGTAATGCTAAATCGAACGTTTTTGATACTAGATAAACTTCTAAAGTATATATATATATTTTTTGCTTTTTATATTTTTCAATAGATTAATTTTGTTTGTACAAAATAAAGAAATAATTTTTAACGATACAATAGCCACGATTATTATTTTAAAAAGTTTAGGTCAGGCTTAACATCGACGAAAATTCAACGCGAAGCGACACGCAACGAAGAAAAATTTCAACACGGGATAAGTTAATATATTTTTTCCTACATAATCGGTTATCCGAAAAATAAGTTATCCGAACAACCCCAGTCCCAATTGATTTGGATAATCGACGCTCTACTGTAATTTTATTTTAACAATAAGGAAAGTTTAATATATTCTTTCCAACTATTATAAAATTAATTTGCAATAATTTCAGATCAAAAATCTCTCGGATAAATTAAGATTATAAATATTTAAAAAACTTTTTAATTTACTTCATTTTAGTTTTCATAAAATATCTTGTAACAATAAAGCAAAGTTTCTGTACACGACAATTTAAAATAATATTATAACAATAAGACAAATAAAATATAAAAATAGTTCAATATAATAATTATTTAAATTATATTTGTTACTCATTTATTAAATATCGTAAAGAGAACAATGCTTTTTAAAATATTTGTGATAATAACAAATTTTTTAATATTATTTAATCTTAGATATCAAAAGTAGTTCGATGTCTAAATATTTGTAGTTCTAGTTTTTAAAAAGTTTTTTATCTATAAAATTTAATATATGAATGTTTTTGCTATAAAATATACTTGATACTTTTTAACCGAATCTATATAAATGTCTATTACAGCTTCTATAGGACTGTGTAATGTTTTTATGGCTAACAGTCGATAACTTGAAATGCTTCGAAATCTATTAGCATCGCATTCTGTAATTTATATAAATAAAAATTAGGATTAGTATTATTTTATATTTAATAAGAAAATAATAAAAATATTTCGTACATAAATATTTTTTACTGACCATATACAATGTTCATTGATATACCAAATGTCTTTTCTTCCTATTATTGATATTACATATATCACATTATATTCTCTGTTTATTCTCTGTTTATAGAGTGAAGAGAGCTGTCTGTATTTCGCAACAGACTTTGTTCAATAGGAAATTGAAAGAAGAAGAAAGCATGTGAATGTAGTGTTAAAAGAAAGAGGGATAGGAAAGTGGGAAGGAAGGCATAAGAGGCACCATAAGCGCCTGTATCGCATTTGATAAATATTATAATGATTACATATTACAATCAGTGCATGAAACTAACATACAACATAAAGTTGGTTAATAAATTTACAAAGCATGTATATCGCAACGTAAACAGTGCTGTACATTAAACAATAAGTAATTTGATGAGACCAGAAGTCACATTATATTCAATTATTTTTCACATTGTTAATGTGAAATCTATAAAAGTATAATTTTTAAAATTTATATTTATATTGTAATTGAATTAAAATGAAACTTGTGTTCTCAAAATTAGTTATTAAAATAAAATGAAAGTAAAAGATTATAAAGTATAAGAATTTAACTCAAATTGTACAGTAGCAATAATAATATTGAAAAAGTGTTTTTCTTCAAATCAAATTTATACTGTGTGATCAAACCAACTTATTAAACTTTGAATTACTATATGGTTTATACTAAACCATAATTTCTTTGAAATAATATTTATTTAAGTGATAAACTCTAATTAAANTTGATGTGTAACTGTAGCTCTCACTTAAAAAAAGGAAATCATCTATTTTTAGAATACATTCATATTTTGGACCTGTTACAAATAAAATCATTTATAGTTTGTATTTTGCTGAGATAATAACTTTTATTTTACATTGAAATTTTAAAAAATTTTAGTATAATTATTGAATCCTTTAATTTTATTGAGTTCTCTTTGTTGTGTAGGGCAATTGTTCCAAGGAATCAATAAACTATAATACGTTATTAGAAAATTTAGAAATAGTTTTAAATATAGAATCCTATGAAGAATTAAATGATAAAAATTCACACTATCCTGAAAATTTCGAAATATTTTGCGAAGAAACGAGTAAAGAAACAATCACAAGTTAAGAATTAAATGTTATCGTTTGATTTGTTTCTTTACTTGTTTTTTCGCAAAATATAAAGGTTTGTAGCTGAAAATACAGTAAAACCCCGCTTTGCGGCCACCTCTGTTACGTAATATTCCTCTGTAAAACTGCATACATTTTAACATAAATCAAACTCCACTTAAGTGGCCAAATAGAAACGTCCTAAACTGAAATTTACCCCCATTTACGTGGCCAACAGAACAGGATAATCTCGCCTTCCCGAATTCAACTATTGTTTATGCAGAATTAAATTTTCTTTCTATGGTTTTGGAACAGTTTGCTATGATCTGTATTAAACATTTGACAGGATTCGTCACAGTAATTGTATACATTAAATCAGCACTCGATATCTCCATTCGGAATGATAGGGCAAAAGTAAGAAAAATCGTTCTTTTGAAAGGTAATAGTAATGGAAGATATTTAAATTAGCTTCTCGAGTTAGCCAGCGTCAGAAGTAAAATATTGCTATTCATTTTGATTTTAATGAAATATCGGTAAGTCTTAGTTTTGTGATACATTCAGTGCCGAATTAACTATCACCGAGACCCCTAAGTTGAGTCTCAGTAAAAATCTCTCTGACCTTACTGTTGTGGTTGTTCGTATAGGACAACGCGACTCGCGAGCGATGTACCGAGAGAGGATGCCTCCTGAGAGGACTTTCTATGAAAAAGTGATCTCTATTTAAATGTTAAAAACGTGAAGAAAATCCTGAAATCTTCGTGTGGCCAGCCCGTTAGCGAGAGCAAATTCGTGACCGTTGTTCAATGGTTTTATCGGCCACTGGTGGGTTCTCTCTGACTTTGCCCTATCCCCCTTTGAATAAAGTGGCATTCCTTACGCACGGGTCGCGGGTTCGCGCTTCACCAACGGGCTGGCCACGTGGAGTTTTCTGGGTCTTCTTCACGTTCGTATCACCTAAATAGGGGACAGTTTTCCACGAAAGACCTCCCGATTAATAATTAATACAGCTTTATTGTTACAAGATATTTTATGAAAACTAAAATGAAGTGAATTAAAAAGTTTTTTAAATATTTATAATCTTAATTTATCCGAGAGATTTTTGATCTGAAATTATTGCAAATTAATTTTATAATAATTAGAAGGGATATATTAAACTTTCCTTATTGTTAAAATAAAATTAATTTAATTAAGATTTGTGATCGAAAAATTAATTTGGTTATCTGAAATAATTCCATTCGACAAATTTTTATTTGCAATCTTAATTTAATTTTAAAAATTATTTGTAATTTAAATTTAATAGACATCTGAAATTAATTTTGTGATTAGTATGTATCATAAAACTACTAATAACGTGTCCCAGTGAAAATACAACAGAAGATGAATGTCTTCTCTAAAAGAGATCGATAGAAACAAAAGGAAATCTTTTCTTAAATGCGGTTCAAAACAGCATCAGGAAGGGGAGATTTTGGCAAGCGGAATGATATGAAAAATGCGAGAAAAAGACAGATATGTCTTCTCGCATCCTTCATATCGTTCGACATATCTTTTGACAGAACTAGCAATTCAAAACTGGAAGAGAGGAGTATCGAGAATAAAAGTTAAAACCTTCTAAGAGAATCTCCATATTTTAGACAATGCAAAAATTAAATCAAAATTCGATCGTTGTCAGAGATTGGAAATTCCGAGCAAACTTTAGATAGTTAAAAAATTTACAGAGAATAAGATAACTGATCTCGATGAAACAATGAAAATTTTGGATCAGAAATTAGTTTGAGAATGTAAGACACAGTCACGAATTTAATTGTAAAACTTAAACATTACATGATCGAGACGATTTGGAGAACCTTGGATTACAACCGAATTACATTAACTTTGTATTTTTGTACGTTTTGAACTAGTTTTGAGATATAATCTGACGACAAGTGTTTGAGAAAAATTTCACTCATTCTGGAAGTATCCAGTTACAGTTTCAGACAACAATCAACGAAAGAAAAGACCAAACTGTAATCAAATAAAACAAAACCAAACCATAATCGAATAAAACAAAACCTCAGTTACTATATTAAAAGAACTTGCCAAAACATACAGTAAAACAAGCTATTTAATTCTCATTAATTTAAAAGAATAAAAATTACATTGACGTTGCTTCACCACTTCTGGTATGTCCTGTCGATCCGGCGTATGGAGACAAAACGCACAGTTACAAGTATACTCCCGAGAGATCGCCCTCGAGCTTCCGGAGATTCGAGCTTATATATCATTCGCTTGGGAAAACTGTCACGTGATTGACTTTTGTGGACGACGAGGGTGCATTCTTCACACATAACTGTAAACTTTTCCAGTTAGTTGTTATACAATCGGTGAAATCCGATCTACTTCAAATTTATCGGGGTTTTCTGAAAATGTTTACAATTATTAAAAAATTCGAATTTTTAAGAGTCCTGCAAAAATTCGCGGGCCAACACTATTGTTTTATTATTGCATTATATTATACAGTATTTTATTTCTGGTATTATTTAGTGTATAGAATTTATAAACAATATTCAATATAATAAATATTTTAAATACCACTTGTGTAATTTAAATTTTACATCTTTACAGATATCTTTTCATCAGAATAAGAAAAGCTATATTGAACACTTGTTATAAAGTATACATACTACATAAAAACGGAAGAATGAAGATAACATGTATGAGCGATTCATTGTCCTTTCTATTTCATAAATTGGGAAGAATTATTGCAAGACATCCCTTTTACTTCTTCATTCCACCTGTGCTTCTATCAGTTTTACTTTCGGTAGGGTTACTTAAACTCGTAACCATAGAAACTGTGGATTATCTAGTGCAGTCTGATAGAGGAGAAACCTTTGAAAATAAACAATTTATTAACAAGATGTTTCCCATGAACACATCCGAATTCTACGATTTTATGAGAATGACAGATCGTCCACAAGCTCCAATGCTTTACATTAAAAATAAATACGGAAACAATTTAATACAAAAAGACAATTTACTCGAAATACAAATCCTTGATGAAATAATTAAAAACATAACGATTATTGTAGATGACAAAGTAGTAAATTATAGAAATATATGTGGCATAATGAACGAGCAGTGCATGGAAAACCCAATAATAAAGATATTACCGGAGATGGATAAATTACTTTCTAGAAAAAAAAAGTTAAAATTTCCTCTTCAAATTGATCCCTTGACTTATACATACGAATTGTGGGCAATTAACTTCGGCGGAGTAAAATATGATGTGGACGGATATGTTCAGGAAGTAGAATATATGAGAATTGTTTATCCCGTTGACGAATCGAATTTCTCTAAAAGACACTGGATTCGTGAATGGCAAAAAGCGTTTTTGCGGAATGTCAACAAATTGGATTTTCATTCGATCGAGATATATCCGTGTCCTTTCTTGGTTTCTGAATTAGATGTGAAAAACCTTGCTGATGAAATTACACCGTTGATGAGTGTCGCTGTTATTGTTGTAACAATTTTCTGTGCAATGTCGTATACGACAAACAGTTGGGTAAAGAGTAAACCTTGGATGGGAATTGCTGCAGTTGTGTCTGCTGGATTAGCAGTGGTTTCTTCTTTCGGGTTGATGGGTGCGTGTGGAATTGAAAATGTCAACTCTAATATTATGTTGCCGTTCCTAATTTTCGGTAAGTAAAAATCTTGAAGTGAATATTAACATAAAATGTTTGTTCGTAAATTTTCAGAGATAACAGAGAAAAGTACAGTATGAAAAGTTTGTATGAAACTAAATTTTTTCGACTTTTTTATTTACATGAATCAAAATCATTTGTTTTTTATCAAGTCCAGAGCTGTAATTTTACTTGTTGGTCACTTCGAATAACGTAACTCTGTTTCGTTTCACTACACTAACAAAGCATAAAGATAGTTGAAAGTCAAAAACAAAAAAAAAAAAAACTTATTTTAGGTTCCTGCCACTAAGTAATCAAAGAAAAGCTCGAATTTTTATTATTATTACTGTGTCCGACATTATTATCGAATACCATCAAATACCGGTGGAAGCTACACTTTGTTATATTACTGGAAATACTTATTGTGAAAAGTAAGACAATACGAAAGAC